AGTATGTTGCCAAATTTAAAATAGTATTTCCATCAGCATTCATAAGGGATGTTATTCCATAGCACCCTTCTCCTATATCTTTTTCTAGTTTTGATAGGGTCATGCTAGCTACACAGAATGAAAGTTCCTCAACTTTTGGGAAGACTTTGTGAATTAGTGTTCATTTTCCCTTAAATATTTGGTAGTCTGGGTGTTTTGTATCATTTTGTTTTGTTTGTGGTACTGCAGATTGTATCCCATACTCTCTGGGATCCGTAGTCCTTTTTCCTTTCTGTCTGTCTTCCTGTCTTTGTGTCTTTCTTTCTTTCCTTTTTTTGGGATGAGATCTTGTTATGTTACCCAGGCTGACCTTGAACTTCCAGTCCTCCTACCTCAGCCTCACAAGTAGCTGGGGCTCTGACCTGCCATGCACAGCTCTTAGGTGTTTAAAAACATTTTTCAATCTCCTTGCTTGTTACAGATCTTTTAATGTTTCTGTTTATTTATGACGCAGTTTTGGTAAATTGCATGTTACAAAGAATTTGTCCCTTCCTTCAGTGATGGCAAACCTGTTAGAGCTCCCAGTGATGGCAAACAGCTTGCTATGGCACATGTGCCAGCAGTTCGCCACCTCTGCTCTAAGTTAACAGTCTGTATTCTTTCTCTTAGAACCCTTTTTATGCATCTGTAGTAATGTCCTCAACTGGATTTCTGACTTAAATAACTTGAGTCTTTATCTTTTCTTTTTTTAGTTTTGTTAATCTTTTCAAAGACCCAACCCTTGCATTTTATTCTCAAATTCATTTTTCTATTTTCTTTGTCTTATCAAATCTTCATTACTCCTACTTTTGGTTCAGTTTGATCATTTTCTAGTTCCTTATCGTACAGGTTGTTATTGATCCTGTCTTCCACGTTGCGTTTTTCTTTTTCTTTCTTTCTTTCTTTTTTTTTTTTTTTCTGTTGTTGTTGTTGTTGTGGTACTAGGAATTGAATCTGGGGATTTCACATTAAGCTACCAGCCTGTTACTATTGTGAGACTAAACTCCCCTGGCTGGGCTCACACTCCTGCCCCAGCCTCCTGAGTGCTGAAATTATAGATGGGTGTCTCTACTCCTGGCTTCCTTTCCTCTCTTCTAAATGTAGGCATTTACCGCTACCATTTTCCTTTATGCACTGTATATGTTTGGTTTCACTTGTCCCAAGGTATTTTCTGATTTTCCTTATGATTTCTTCTTTGAAATCACAATTTGAAAAGTATAAATACTATGTGATTTAATTTTCTACAAATCGATGAGTTTGTGGATTTCCTTTGGTTACTGATAACTAGTTTCAATTATGTCATGATTGGAAGAGAAATACATGATTTCCATCTTTCACTTTCATTAAGACTTGTTTAATTTTCATTAAGCCTTATTTTGTAGCTGAACAAATTGTCTATTTTGGAAGCTATTCTGTTTTTCCTGAGAAAAACGCTTATTCTATTACTGTTAGGTAGCCTCTCTTACATATGTATGTCTGTTAGTCCAGTTGGATTGCAGCACAGTTCGACTCCTTTACTTCCTTGTTGAGCTACTGGTTGATTATTCTATCCATTACTGCAGGTGGATAGTGGCTGGGGTTTCAGCTCAGTAGCACAAGTATCTGCCTGGCAAGCATGAGGTTGTAAATTCAATCCCCAGTACCAAAAAAAAAGTGGCCCTTCATTTCTGTCAGTGTTTGCTTCATGTATTTTGGGGCTCTGATTTTTAGTTCAGATATGTTTATAATTGTATGTGTTGATGAATTAACCCTTTTATAAATATATCATGTCCCTTCTTTGTCACTTTAAGTTTTTGTCTGAAAAGTGTATCAATTGTGAAACTGTAGTAAGATTTTTCCACCCTGGACCTTTAACTTTTTTTTTTTTTTAACAAGGGTTTCATTATGCAGTTCAGGCTGGCTTTGAATTCACTTTGTAGCCCAGGTCTCCAACTCAGGGCTATCCTCCTGCCTCAGCCTCCTGATTGCTGAGATTTTTTTTTCTACATTTTTAGATTTTATTTATTTATTTATTTATATTGGTACTAGGGATTGAACTCACGACTGCGTGCTTGCAAGGCAGGCGCTTAAAAGTGCTGCTGAGCTAAATCCCCAGCCCTTATTTATTTAGTTTTTTCATACAGGGACTCAAACTAAGGGCCTTGCACTTACCAGGCAGGTGCTTATGCCACTGAGCTGTAGCATCCCTGGCCCTACATCTTTAGATCTAAAGATCTTGCAGATATCATAGAATAGAATAGAATCTGGTTTCTTAAAATCATTTTGCCAATCTCTTCTTTTGCTTGGAGAGTTTTAATCCGTCTACATTATAAGTAATTAGCAAGAAAGGAGTTCTGCCATTTTGTTATTTATACTGTATGTTTTACAGCCTTTTTGTTTTTCATCTTATTTTTTGTAATAAAAAGGTTGATTCTCTTTTTTTATGTAGGTACCATGGAAATTATAGACTCAGATTGGCTTACAGTGGGGAGGGGAAAAAACCCTGGTTCATACTCACTAGCCAGAGATTATTAACTGCTGCGTTGGCCCTGGGAGAAGAGCACCTCTGGGGCAGCTCGGGCAGACCTGCAGCACACATGGCACAGCGGGCGCGCACCAAGTCACCCAGCCAAGGGCTGAGGAGCTGTCAGCGTGCACCACAGCACAAATCAGAGGGGCACGCAGAACCACACCGGGTGCCAGTTTTGCTTTCAGTAAAAAGCTGTTCGTATGATTAAAAGCTCCACTACTGTTTTTCTCTTAAGATGAAAGATGTTACTGTGTGAGTTCTCTAAACTGAAACCTCAGCGTTCAGCTTTAACTGCAGCTCTCCAATAAGTAAGTGGGCTTGGGTTGCAGTTGGGCACTCACTCTCTAAAAGTTTACTGTCACCGTGAAAAAGGGTGCTGCCTTGAGCGGGTGCCTGCATCCTGGTAACCAGGCAGTTCTGTCCACTCTGTGAGCCTGTGCTTGTCAGGCTGTGCTTGAGGCTTTCTGGAAGCCCAGTAAGTACCTGTCTTTCCAGCCCATATTCAGAGGTACTTGAGAAAAAGACAAAGGAGGTCTAGCAAATGAATCTCAAAATACCATTTTTTTACCAACCACGTAATCACAAGGAGATTGGTCACGGGTTACAAAACTTCCTACAACTGCACCCCAAAAAGAGTCTTCTCTTTAAAGGGGAAAAAACATTAAACTCATGGCTGTAATTTTAATACAGTTCATTCTACATTTTTAAAGAAAAAGATCTTGTTTAGGGAGAAAAACATATTATTCAGTAAACTGTTAGATAATTTCTTTCATATTGGAAAGAAACTTGAAAAAGAAAACAGAAATACCTGCACTTGTCAGTATGGTATGGAGCAGTATTCACCTACTTGTCCTTTGATAAAGCATATATTTTCTGAATAACAAAGAATCTTTTTGGCATTAAATACATTTTGTTAGCTATGTTTTTAGAAGTCAAAATGGTTAGTTGAAGTTTTGGGGCTTCTGTCATACTGCTGCAATATTATTTTATGGGAAGAAGACACTAAGCTACTTTTTTGTGTATTTTTGAGACAGGGTCTCACTATACAGTTCAGGCTGGCTTTGTCGCCTAAGCTAGCCTTACATAGCGATACTTCTGCCTCAGCCTCCAGAGTACTGGGATACAGGCTCGCTCTACCATTCCTGGTTTAAACTGTATTCTTAATTGTGTGTCTTTACATCTGAAGTACTTTTGTTACTATGAGTTTGGTCTCCAGTCTAGAGCTTTGTTTCATAACAGCAGTGTACATAAATCATAATCTATCATAACAAATATTTACATATATAAGAAGTATCCAATAGAGAAGTATGGAGTGTGACAGAAACATTTGGGAGTGAGCTGGGGTTCTTTAAAGAAAGTAACATTAGATTGTTTTGCAAAATGAGTAGGTGATCACCATGAAGGCAGGAAACATTGTGAGCTGAAAAAATAACTTGTAGAAAATACGAAATGGCATTCTGTGTTTTCTATGTACCTTTATGATCTTCTAAAAAAGCTTTGGAAATTTAGAAAAGTGGATGTTTCCCCCTTTTTACTACCATAAGCATGAAAGTGACCGTGTTAAAGGGCACAGTGCAGTGACAGCATGTCCTTGTCACCGTGCGTCCATCTCCACTGTCTGTTTCCTGAGCTTTCCTCACCCCAAAGTGAACTCTGTCCACTTAAATACCAATTCCCCACCCGCTTTTCCTCCAGCTTCTGTTACCCTTGTTCTACTTTCCATCTCTAGGAATTTGCTTCTTCTAGGTCCTGCACAGAGGTAAAGTCATACATAATTGTCATACATTAATATGTATAATTTTAGCTTATCTCAGTTTGCGTGGTTTTGAAAGTTCACCCCTGTTGTAGTAAGTAACAGAAGTTCATTTCGCTTTATGCCTAGTACTGATAATAATCATCTGTGTAACTCTGTTTTCCTGTTGACGAGTGTGTGAGTGGTTCTGCCTGTTGGCTGGTGTGAGCACTGGTAAGCGAGTACTCCTGCGAGAGCACTGTTTGCAGTCCTGCTTTCCTGCTGTTGGGTAGATGCCTAAGAGGAGAGTTGCTGAATCATAAAATAATTATGCACATTGAACTTGCTGAGTTGCCACCAGTTTTTGACATCATCAACAACATTCTACATTCCCATCAGCAGCACACAGAGAGCCCTGTGTCTTCATCCTTGCCAACCCTGTCTTTTAAAAATCTGAAAAATTTGCCAAACTATACAGCAATTCCATAAAAATTATGGAAGTACATTTATATTGTCACTACATTGACAGCGACTCTTTGGTGCTCGTGTTAGATAGGGTTTGTATGAGGCAGCATCAGGATTTTGACATTTGTCTTTGTGTAACACAAAATGTGTTCATGGAAAGGCCTTTGAGGTAAGAAATTACTTTGCAAAGTCAAATTCTGAAAGTAAAATGAATCCGACAAGTTTGTCATCTGTAAGTCTCTGTTCTTAGCAGCGCAGTCTTCTGTGTTCCTGCAGCTCCCTGCACAGGCAGCACTTTCTTCTGCCATAGCAACATGTGCATCAATAACTCCTTAGTCTGCAATGGTGTTCAGAACTGTGCGTACCCTTGGGATGAGAATCACTGCAAAGGTGAGTCCCGTGCGGAGGCAGCCTTTGTGAGGGGAGAGAGGCTGTTTTTGTTAGGAAAGGGTTACAGACTCTTTTCTACAACTGTGTTTAGCACAGCTGCTTCAGCAGAAATAGATATATAAATTTTAATGGATAACAGACCTCTGGAATGTGGTTAGAGCAAAGAAAAACACTCTCAGATACTAAGTTTTTTTGTGGAGAGTATTTCAAGTCATTCAAAAGTACATTATAGTATTTCCTATCCTCCTTCTGTATTTTTGCTGTTGAAATTTGTCATCTGTGTTGTAAATTCACCTTACTTAGATGTCAAAATAATTTAGAGAAGGGCCTCTATTGTTGTTTTTTTTTAATCACATAAAAACATAGGTAAAAGTCAACTAAAAGATTCAGTTCTGCAGTGTAAAAAACCAGAGAGCCATTAGAAGAACTGGTTTTTTCCAACAAATCTCCTATGCTGTATTTCCAGTGTTTTCTGGGAGAGATAAATATGCCTATCTTAATAATTAAATGTCTGCAAGTTGGTTTGCAAAGCACTCTCTCAAAACTAAAGTTTATCTGCATCTTTCCAAGAGTTCAGTAAATGAAAAGGTGCTTACGTTAAGTACTAAACATGAAATATTTTCAGGTGATCATTCAGAAACAGTCGACCATAATGGATGGGTCAGGCTGGTCGTGTTTGCTGTCTCTCTTTGGTGGTCAGCAGTAGAATACCACTGCTGTGTAAAGAGGAGGTGGTCAAGCCTGCCGTACAGCAGAAAACTGAGCTTCATAGAACAGCAGTATTGTGGAATTTTCTACATTATTGTATTTTATTTGTTTTGCAAATTGTGTGCGTTTATGTACTCTGAGAAATCAAGTGTGTAGTCTATCTTTTCTATAATCTATCTAGCTGTATTGTGGTTACCTAGAAATCATAACAGGATTGCTGTATTTAAGAGTCTAGTTTTGAGTTACATTGTCTGTGATATATTGGACCCATTCTTTACGTAAAAATACCTTACTAATCTGTGCTAGGACTCCTATTAATGAACTTTGAAAGCCTCAGTGTTTCTTTTTCTCTTTCTACAGAAAAGAAGAAAGCTGGCCTATTTGAACAAATCACTAAAACTCATGGGACAATTATTGGTGTTACATCAGGGATTGTCTTGGTTCTTCTCATTATTTCTATTTTAGTACAAGTAAAACAACCCCGGAAAAAGGTCATGGCTTGCAAAACTGCGTTTAATAAAACTGGGTTCCAAGAAGTGTTTGATCCTCCTCATTATGAACTATTTTCACTAAGGGACAAAGAGATTTCTGCAGACCTGGCAGACTTGTCAGAAGAACTGGACAATTACCAGAAGATGCGGCGCTCATCCGCTGCCTCCCGGTGCATTCATGACCATCACTGTGGGTCACAGGCATCCAGCGTCAAACAGAGCAGGACCAACCTCAGTTCCATGGAACTTCCTTTCCGAAATGATTTCGCGCAACCACAGCCAATGAAAACTTTCAATAGCACCTTCAAGAAAAGTAGCTACACTTTCAAACAGGCACATGAGTGCCCTGAACAGGCCCTCGAAGACAGAGTAATGGAAGAGATTCCCTGTGAAATTTATGTCAGAGGGCGAGAAGACTCTGCACAAGCATCCATATCCATCGACTTTTAGTGACATTAATTACTAAGTATGTGTGTATGCAGCCTACAGAGCACCCATTCTGTTTGCAGTGGTTGGTCCTTTTTTCCAGTCCAAACCATGCAGACCTTCATTTCCTGTTAACCATGGTAATAGTGATGTTTTTTATTTTCTCAGGCAGTACTATCTGTTAAACCAACCTAGGAGCTCAGTGTATTCAAGGAGATCTCATCACCACCTGTTGCCGGCATCATCTGAACAAAGCACGATGGTTGGCGAGCAGTCAAAGAAGGGAGTGTTGTTGAGCTGGGCTCTGGCTGCCCCTTAGTTTCAGCATTGGAAATGCTGCTCCTGACTAACAGAGCTTTGTCACTGTTTTAATCCCACCGCAAATTTAAGAGTAAAATTTATCTTACATTTCTTTTATTCCTCTTTAAATTTAATTTGCTGTAAATCCCAGTGGTGTCCCAGTTCAGGTTCTCACATAAGTGGTTCTGCAGCGTACTGCACTAAAGCACAGGTATTTGTTCCTCCGTTTCCCAGACACAGGCACTGTGGTGAGGGCCAGTTAGGAATTGTTTCTTTCATTTCTCCTTGACTAATTTCTGCAGTGCTGCCTTTTAGTGGCTGGACAGTTTAGTCCTTCCTTCCTGTGAGAAGTAGATATGGTTTATACCTTTAAATCATATTTTTCCTAGTTACATTAGAAAATTGTATCATCCTGAGGTGTGTGTGCCTAGCCGATTTAGCAAAGAATTTGACAAAGATAAAGACTTGTGTAAGCCTTAAGATGGCCTGCGTGCGGTCAGAGGCAGCGACATCCCTTTCACTCCGTGGCAGTCATTTGGCCCACTGGAGGGGACCTGCAGGCACATTGCTTTGCAGCCATGCTCACCCCAGATCCGTGTTTTCTGTTATTTTTGTTGAAAAAAAGATTACTTTGCTCCCATTCTGTTGGTTCATTTTTTGGCATATGGTAACCAAGATTGTGTGAGAGCTAAAGGAAAATTCTCTGGAAAATTCTTTGTGTGTGCATTTAAATTGCTTCCTTCTTGGAACAGTACATTTTTCTAGCTATTATGAAAATAACAATTTCAACTTTTTTTTAAACTGCACTTTTGACCTTATTTTTTTTATGGTATATAGAATAGTAATTTATAAACATGCTATAAAAACTCTTGGTTTTTTTTTTTAGACTTTTGATATCATTTGATACTGTACAATCTTTATTATATCTAAATTAAAGGTCTACATGACAGATTTCTTTCACTATTCCCATTAGTGGCTTTGTATGCTGTGATGGAACTGTTCACTCTAATTTATTATAAACATGTTGGTATATGTACATAAGCTTTTTCTTTCCTTTTGTATTTAGTTTGTGATAATTTTTCACTGTGTGATATTTATTGCTCTAAGTCACTACACAATATTAAAATATGCATTGTTACTTGACCTGGCAATCATGTTATTTTTGCACTGAGATTTTGGATTTTAAGATACATGTAGAAAGGAATTCATTTATCAAATTATAATTAATATAGGTATGCTATTCAAGAGATATATTTTTATTCTCTACATTTTTGTAGTAAATTTTCACTGAAATAAGACTGAGGTTTCACTGGGTTTCATTTATTCTTTTAAATATTACAAACATAAGTTTTCAAGTGACTTTACATTTGATGCTTAACAAAATATTGCCTCAGAACGTGTTTCTTGTATCGTCTTTTTTTCAAATTCATCTTTTTTAATGTTTATTAGTACATGGTGATTACGTTCGGGGGGGGTGTTGCCTCATTTTTGTAACATCTGAATTCTTCTGCTTCCCCTTCTGCGCCCACTTTCACTTTTGCATCCCCTTACCATTTGCAAAAGATGTACCTATTTCCTATTATCTGGTGTTTTGTTTTGTTTTTGGTAACAGGGAGCCAACTCATGACCTCGCACTTGCTAGGCAGGTTCTTATGCCGCTGAGCTAAATCCCCAGCCCACTATTATCTTTTATTTTGCTCTTTATTTATATGTTGAGTTTCTCATAAGAGAAGTCATGTGGTATTTAACTTCTGTGTATAATTTATTTCATGTAACATTGTCACAAGATGCAGTCATTTTCTTTCAGATGACTCAAATTTGCCCTTTTATGGGAGAGTAGTGCTCCCTTGTGTGGAGATGCCACATTTCTTTATCCACTCATCTTTAAACTAGATTACACCCTGAAGATAAGAAAATCACACCTATTTTTATGATTTAATATTTTAACATAATTTCCTATTTTCAGAACAAGCTGGAAAAGTAAAAAGACTTAATGTACTACTCATTGAACTAGTACTAGAGGCAGATTGGATAACCAAATTCTTCCACTAAATTGTATAGGCATTTTAATGGCTAACATAGGCCCACCAACATTTGAACATACTTAATATAACAACTATCTCATTCTTCATAACTGAAATTAGCATAATTTCTATAGAAAATTGTTACAAAAGCAGTTATTAAATCCATCTTTAACCTCTAGTTGTAGAAAATAATACAGTATGCTTCACTATATTTTTGAAATTTGTATCCTATTTTAAAAAGATTTAATGAGGTCTACAAAATACAGATGATATTTAACATTAAAACAGCACAGAAATAACATGGTTTTATGCAACTCAGCAAGCAAACCTTGAATAGCAAACTTGGTTCTAAATGTTGGCTGCTAAAATGAAGGAAACAGTTTTTTCATAATAGAAAATACCCTCCGTGAAGACTGGTTTTCTCTAAGGGTTTGAGGACATTTCCTCAGAGTTTTAAAAAAATGCACAGTGCAGGAAAAGTCACAGTGCAAGCCTTCCCTGGCAAGGCTCCGCCTGACGAGCGTGGACCTGTTTCTGGTGGGTCCGTCGCCGGGCTGATGCTGGGGCCAGTGGGTTTGAGGCAGCCAGGAGTCTGGTCCCTTAGGTAAACATTCTGCCTGTATTTTACAGAAAGGGAAGGGAACGCTAACTCTTAGGTGTTATTTCCAGAGTAGTGCTAATGCTATTTAATCATTGAAATCAGTGAGAAAACTACAAATCATTTACTAAAGTGAAAGCCCTACATTGTATTACTAGGACCTGAAACTTAGCCATCCCTTGGGAGGGATTACACAGTGCTCCGGTGTTGGATCTCACTGAATCCACAAGAGCTGTATTTTCAGTTAAGAAGCAGCATTGCCAGGCACTGTAGCACGTGGCTGTCATCCCAGAGCTCAGGAGGATGCGGCAGAAGGATCATTTAAGGGTAGGAATGTAAGACCAGCCTGAGCGACATAGCAAGACTTGGCTTTTTAAAAAGAACAATGACATTGTTATTGTTGCTGGAAATCAAACTCAGGGCCTTGCTAGCAACTACTGTATCACCAAGCTATACCCACAGCCTGAAAAGAAACCCTTTTAAGCATACCTTTATGATATGTCTGTGTTACCTCATTTGCCCACGAACTGCAGGAAACATAATCCCAGCATCTCAAGTATATGGGAATAAAGTGTGGTATCCTTCGGTGGAGGGAACAGATTCAGTGTAAAAGTTTAGTGTTAAAAAGCAAAGGCTTTGGAGGCTGGGGATATAGCTCAGTGGCATAAGCACCTGCCTTGCAAGCAGGCGGTCATGAGTTCGATCGTCGGTACGGGGGGGGGGAGGGGGGGGGACAAAGGCTTTGTCCTGTTTCGTGAAATTACTGGTTATTAAACTCCCAAATGTCTGGCACTGAACATTGTACTCAGTGATGAGAAGAGTGCTTCCTCGCTTCTGGAGTGCACCAGCCGATGACACCCAAGAGGAAAGACCTGGCTGCCACTCTGGGGATAATTCCTGCAGGCGGTGAAGTATGCCCTCATGGTGAAATGGTTCTGGATTGTTCGTGTTTTCTTGCAAGTTGTGGAAATAATATACTTGAGTCACATAGATTAGACCCAGAAGAAACTTGGTTTTGGTGACCACAGGAAGACAATCCAGTCTAACCTTGTTAAAGACTGGAGTCCGAAAAAGTGATGTGATCCTGCCCCTTGCAGCTCTGGCCCAGCTTCTGCTGGCTGAGCTCCAAGGCAAGCAGCTCTAAGCCACCACCCAGGTGTACAGCGTGTCAGCATTCTGATTTAAAATGTGACTCCGTCACCTTTTTCAAAACATTCTTTTTCTCCTTTTTATTTATGTAACACCATGTTCTATACATTTATTACCATAATTCTTTGGGACCAACAACTCTGCAAGCAGTTACTGTGAATTCTTTTTTTTTTTTTTTTTTTTGTACTGGGGATCAAATTCATCACAGCGCAATTGCCAGGCAGGTGCTTGTGCTGCTGAGCTGTATCCCCAGCCAATTCTTAATAAAGTGTGATAATACATAGGCTTGATATTAGAAAAAGCTTTGCTTTTATTTTTGCTTTTGTGGTTTTTTTTTAACCTAAAGGAGTTGGAGCTCTATTTTGTTTATCAAAGTTGTTTAGAGTATTCTGAGTCCTTTTGCACAGAAATGTAAGGCTCAAAATGTTAATCTATAAGAAAAATGATATTGACAGTTTGATGACAAATTGCATTTTCTTTTCTTTAATTTCTATTTGTTTATGGTTTCATTCTTTTTTATCTTTAATAAAATAACCTAAAGGAAACAGTGTATACTGTAGAAATTAAACATGTGTGTGCTGTATCTTGAGTTTTGGAAAATGATTTGTGTCTGAGCCCCCACTAAATGACAGAGTGACCTTAGGTATGCCTTTTAGCTTCCTCTACTAATAACTTGCCCTTCCTCACTAACTTTTCAGCTATGTTTCCATGTGTTTCACTGATTGCTTTACTGGCTGCAGAAGCCCAGGAGCTGTGCTGAAGAGTGGGGTGACATTTAGCATGGCTGTCAAGTCCTCTCTGAACACAGTGCATTTAATTAAGTTGAACCTCTGGACCCCTGGCGGTGAACCTGTGTCACGTGTGTTAGTGTATTTTCCTCTAAGACAAAAGCTGCTAATGTGTGAGTTGCCCTCTGTAAACGGAGCTCGGTATTCAGCTTTCACTGTAGTGTTGGCACTCTGATAAGTAAGTGGCGTTGGGCTGCAGTTTGGCACTCAGCCTATAAAAGGTCCACCAGCACTGGGTGAGACCATACAAGAATCCTCCATGCTTAATCCTCGATTTGGCACTTCAAAGAATCTTAACCCTTGAACTGGAAACAAAAGCTTCTGCTTCAATTTGTTTCCCTCAGTTCCTAAACTCTTTAGTATTGGCAAAGAATTTAAGCTGCTTTGGGCAGCACAATTTCTTTCTAGGACCAAGTTGGCTTTCCTGTTTACCAGATTCCAGAATAAAGTAATCGTGGTTACGGTTTTTGTAAAACGCAACCTTGAACTGTGACACTTGGAACCATCTTATGTTCTCAAGTTCAGAGAAGGTGAACTTTAAAAAACAAGGCATTTTGTCTTAAGTTGCCTGCAGGACCGGATCTGCTGCACGCAGTCCTGGAAGCGGCAGTGAGGGCCTGCGGGGCGCGTGGCCAGGACCACGCTGCCCTTTCAGGGTGCAGGACGCAGTGGTCCTGGCCACGCTCGGTGAGTAGGAAGGAGCAGAGGTCAGCAGGTTGCAGACAGTCATCAGGCACAGGCCGAGGAGCAGGAGCAGAGAGGCGTGGCAGTTACCATGCTGTCTACACTACTCAGAGCAGACTTAACTAGGTCTGCATTTGGGATCAGGGCAGGTTTTACTTAAACGTGCCCTCCTGTGCCAGCCCCGGCCCAATCCGCAGCATCTGATGCCCGCGGGACTGAGATGCCGTGAGTGGCTGCTGCTCGCCGAAAGCAGCTTTCTTCAGAAATTTTAGGTATTGATCTTTCCCAAGACATTGTCACGTGAGGAGTGAGAGGTTTTTCTTCCGCCCCCCGAGTTACCACCCTTGGGTTGCGCAGTGCCTACGCGGGCGGGTGCAAAGAGCAGCCAAGCGCAGCCGCAAGGCCTCCCACCCGCGAGGCGGCGCCCCGCGCCGAGTCTGCAGCTTCTCCGTGGGCCCCGGGGCTGCCGCCCCGTGAGCCACACTTGAACCCCGACCCCCAGCGGGGCGGCAGGAGCAGCGGACCAGCTTCGCCCGCCTCGCCCGCCTTTGCTGGGTCGAGAGGCCTGTAGAGAGGCCGCTGTGAAAAAGAGAGGGGGTTTCTGGCCAACAGCTAACATAAAACTGGAGAGAAACCTTTACTGCACTAACCTGCAAAGAAGCAAACGGTGCCCACCGCGCGGGGCCCTGGAAGGGGCCCTTGCTCAGCGCAGACCGAGCTCACGTTTGTTGTTGAAGCTGTTATGTTTGGGAGTAATTTTTATGCAACCATAGGTAATTAATACAACACTATAAAGAGAAGACAGTGGTACATCCCAGCTCCATAGTTTGGGTAAAAAGTCGGGAAATCTAACCTGATGTTTTTTGTTGTTTTGTTTTTTGTCTTCTTCCTTTTTATCAG